CCATTAGGAAGTTTCTCAATTTCATAGAGTCCCTGTGAAGCTCACATGATGTAGGTACCAACACTCTTTAAGTACCAAGCACTCTCACTACCATCTGGGAGTACTTCCTGCATTTGCAGGCAGCTGGAAGAATTCCGAAGTTAAACCTAACCAGTTTTGACAACTGTTCCCCATGTCAATTTCAAGACTTTCATTTTTACCACCCTCTTTTGAACACTACACACTTGCCTATATCCCTCTTAAAATATATGACACCCCAAAATAAAAACAAATAGTTTAATCCTTCAAGTCTCAGCTCCTGAAAATAGTTTAGACACGCATAGAACAGAATAGGGCTACTACCTGCCTTGATAAATACATAACACTTTTGTTGCTGCAGCTAAAGACTGAAATGGGTTTTTTTTAAGCTGTAATATTACACTACTGACTGTCAAACTTATGATTAAATAAAATGTTTTTATCTTTCTTAAAGAGTGTGAAATTATCCTCACCCTGAGCATATGTATATGTTTAAGTGACTTACCAAAGTTTTAACCTTAGAGAATAGAGTTACAGTCTTCTTTTTATGCCAGGTCTCCCTATCTTGTACTTCATAAACTGCCTTTTCCCCCCCTAAACATGAATAGAAGAATGTCCTAAATTTTATCCCTTGGGTTCTGGCTCCTCATTTCAGCCTATCAAGATATTGAGTATTTATTCTATCAGTCAATGTATTGGCTGTCCCTGCCTATTACGAAACAACAGAGAGCATCAACCCCTAGGTATACCAATCATAAGTTAAATAATCATTCTGTATGTTTGTGTGCTTCTTTGATTTTTTAATCTACTAGCAAAACTGCTAAATTTTATCACTCTTATATAATTAATGGACTCACTGATTAAAGTAAGTGTGGCATTATTTAACATCAGTTTGCAAAGAATTATGCATGTTATTAAAAAATAACAAATCTAGATACTTATTTTGAAAAACACACACTTTACCTGGCTGATGAACAACTTTTTCAATTTTATGTTCTTCTTCCTCTTCCTCTTCCAAAATGAAGCCTCCTTTTGTGTCAATTATCTTTGGGGCTGCTTTTACATTAGCCATGCCTATAAAAAGTGAGTAAAAGTGGTCAGTAATTGTTATTATAATAATGGGTAAGGCCAAATGTTCCCTTGTGCATAAACAGGAACCTCTTTAAATTTAATATATATCAAACAAGACAAGGATGTCCACAATCACCACTTCTATTTGACACTATACATAAAAACTAAAAAGACATAAAGATTGGAAAGAAAGAAGTAAACAGTATTTATTCACAGAAGATGTAATTATGTATGCAAAATATCCATAAGAATCTACAATAAGAATTAACAAATAACAATACCTAGGAAGGAGTGTATAAAAA